CACTATATCATAAAGCAGAACATGAAGTTCAGAGATTACAACGTGAATTAAAACGTGCAATTGCTAAATCTAGGTGTGTAGTTAATGTGTATTTATTAGAACTTAGTAATATTGAATGATTTTTTAGTTTATTTAATAATGCATGGAATGTATTGCATTTATTTGATATAATATATACTTTAATTTTAGAATCTAATTTTAGAATTTTCTTGCTCCATGATTTTAACATTTTTATTTATTTTCTTCCTATATCAATATTAATAATTTATGTTTTTATTCTTATTCTATGTTATGTTAATTTTATATAGATATTAGAATATTTATGTCTTTTGGTTTATATTCATGTTGGCAGTATGGGTGCACGTCGCAGCTTGCTTCTGATAAACAGTATCGCCTACAGGCACAACTTGCTCATGTTGTAAGTAGGATAGAAATTATTTTTTTATTTTTTTATACAATATTTATTTTATGTGTCTGCTATTCATAAATCCCCTTTTGACAATTTATTTTCTAATTTATTATCCCGTTCTTGCACGAATTATATTCTTAAAAATATTTCATAGACAAAATTTTGTTTTATTAATAAAAGCTTTGTATGATATTTATTTTACAGCATTTAATTAAAAATGAATTTAATAAAAATAGCAAGTTTTTTTGAAATGTAATGTAAATTTTATTAATCTTTAAATAATTTATTATATAGGCCATATTACGAAATGAAAGCACATTTTAATCAAATGTTGGAAGAACAAAAATTAAGAGTAAGTGCATTAGAAAGATCAGTTGGTGAAGCTAAAATGACTTATGCAGAAGCACTCAGAAATTTAGAAAAAATCAGCGATGAAATCCACAGGGTATAATTGCTTTTTATTATTTAAAATCAGAATATTCTTAGACTGAAATAAAATATTATTTCTTACTTACAGACTAGAAAATATGATGGAGCGGATGATTTTGATAAATCCTCGAGAGATAACATTGACCAACAATCTTCTTTACAACCCAATACAACAACTTCAACTGATTCTAGTGTTACTGGATCACCCGATAGTACAGATTATACTAGTGATGAATACTTGCGCCTTCCTGATAAGATGAGTCCTAATATGCAATGCCCTGTGCCTACAAGAGTAATTATATTTTATGATATCAATAAAATACATCAAATGATTTTTTTTAAATATATTAATAATTTTTATATATTTTATATATTTTTTATATTCAGATCGATAGAGAGCCTTCTTCTGAGTATTTGGGCCTAAGCAATTTGAATCTTTCATCCACAGAACCTCGAAAATATATAAAGCGAGACCGTCCAAAAAGCATTGCAGCAACTGATACAAAACATATCATAACGCTAAATCAAACAAGTTCTTCAACTTCAAGATTATCAGATTTATCAAATATTCTTTCTCCTATAGAAAAACGAGTAAAAATACAAACACCAGTAGATACAAAAAATACTAATACTACAGTACAAAATGGAGAGGAATGGACAGAAATTAGTTTAAATAATTCTCCAGACGAGATATATTACAATAATGAAGTATATTCCGACGATGAAGATCAAATTCCTTACAAACCATTACCAATGGATTTAAGTCCGGAAAGTAATAATCCACCTAATGGTGCAAATATTGAATCATTCAATGAATTATCTAGTCGAAAAAAATTAGTAACTCAAAAATCATTACCTACTATGCCAAAAGGAAATGAAATTAGTTTAAGCAATGAAAAGAAAATAGAAGTAACAAGAAGTCCATCAATAAAAAATAAAAGTAAACTTGATACTAGTTTAACTAATTGGATAACCAGAAGTTCTGCTGGTAGTGAGGCTAGCGGAGGGAGTTCAGGTAAATATATTCAGTTATACATTTTTTAAAATATAATGTATTGCATATAAATATCATTTTTTTCATATCGTTGTAGCTAATTCGAGTAGAAGACAATCTCTTGATATGTTATGGAGCGCTGGCACGGGAGAAAAAGTAAAAGAATTTCTCAATCATGGAATGATGATATTGAACATATCTAGCCTTACAGATCGACGTTCTAATGAACCAAAGATAGTAGATAGGGATAAGGAAAAATGTGAAAAATCCGAAAAAGTAGAAGGAAAAGGAAAAAAAGTTCCTAGTCCATTGGAAAAAACAATGACTTATCTTAATGCTGATGAAGAAACATCCGATAGTGAAAGTTTAGCAAGGTATATATTTTTTTATAAATATCTTATTATATGAATTACATTATCTCTTCTTCATTAATCCAATTATATAAAAATTTTATAATTAGTGTGGAAATGTTAACGGAGGATCAGATTTCTTCACTTATGATGGAACCTGACATGAATCAAGTATGTCAAGAAATTTTAGGAACACCTTTAGTTGAAGTGTGTCCATTATTGCAACAATTGCAACAACAACAATAGCATTACTTTTCTTGACATTATTGATTTAATCGAGTCGAAATAAAAAAATAATAGAAAATGTTCAGAAACTATAATTAAAAAGACGAATTAAGGGATAGCTTTATTTATTATTAAAATTAGTGCAATTAGTTCCTGCACTTTTATTATATGTATATGATAGAAACAGAAGATTTAATTTTCGAGCATGGATCTTTTTTTCCTATTTTAAAGAATCATCGTAATTTGAATCGCTTCATTAAATTGTTATATATAACAATTGCATGTCATTTGAATAATACATAATTTGTAAATATGATAAACATTCATAAAGATTTTAAAGCATATATTAATATTTAATTTTTATTATTGATGTGATTATTATATTGAATTTATTTATATAATAATATTTAATATGTCTTATCAAAATTTAATCACTAAAAAGACGATATTTAGAGAATTTTTAATAATTATATATTTTTAATAATTATACATAAAAATTATTTTTTTGTTCATTTCGCTCATATAAATATGTTGATGTACCTGTAAAATAATAATAAGAGAAAAAAAAGAGAAATGAAGAAAGTAAAATTTCTCATGAAGTTTTTAGATCAAAGATCCATCGATTAGAAAATCTTTTGTCTCTCTACGTTAAGAGTACAACTGTATAAGCAATTCATTTTTTACATTGCTGAATATGCAAGAGCAAATGTCAGTTGAAAATTAAGATATAATAATTATAATCTCCTTCAAAGTGCTAAGTAGAATTTATTAGGTAAGAGGATATGATTCTAAATAGAAAATTGACAGCTTTGATAAGCATGATATTCCAGATACCTAAGCTTTAATATAATTGTAATAATGTTCATCTACCAAAGCTCAGCAGAACATTTTTAAAGAATTTTTCTTTAATTCTGATAATGAAGTATATAATATTTATTACTATGTACCTTATAGTTAACAAAATATGTAAATCATAATTAATATATTTGAATAATTGGATCATGCATTTAAACAATCTAACTATGAATCAGTTTTAATACCTATTATTTAATTATTAATTAGTAAATATCTAAATATAATTTGTAAATTTATTTTATAAAAATTAAGATTAATTCCAAATTTCTCCTATTATATATACAATTAGATATGCAATTAGAAATTTAATATTTAGAAAAGTTGGATTGTTTAATTGCATTAAAAAGTAGTCTATAAAAAATGCATGCCATTTAAAAAAGAGTAATATATACAAATATGTATATGTATATATATATATATATATATATATATGCAGATATTATTTATTTTTATTGCATAATTTTCTGTAAACAGTATTTGTTAATACTATATTAAATAAGATTAACAGATTTTTCTATGAACAAATAAAATAGGTCAAATATATGACCTTATTACATGCAGAATACCAAAGATAAATAAAATACAATTTAAGATAAACAAATAAGTGCAATATAAATTTTTGATAGTAATTTAATCGGATCATTTCTTTTTTAATCTTACAAAATTTAAAAATAAGAATATGATAAATTCATATTAATTGAAAGTTTCTATTCTACTAGTATCATGACATTATATAATTTGTGTGTATATATATATAGATTGTAAAAAAATGTATACCTTTTAATGACAAATATTTTTCGAAAATAATTATTTTTGAATATTTCTTTTGAAAAATTTAATAAAACATTTAATTCTTTACAAAAGAATAAACTGAAAGATATATTAATTCTTATTTATTTTATTGTAATATAGTTATAATTATATAATTTTATATAAATTGAATTATTAAATTATGCAAAATTCTTTCATACGCTCGTGCACATAAAATGTGTTACAAATAAACTATTATATATTTGAAATTTGAAACCAAATTGCCGTCGAAACTTATATTGTTATCTTGCAAGTTAAAAATGATCATGCTCCTAAATATTTTATTAGATATTTTTTTGCCTAAAATTTAACGATAATAATGTTGCATATAATGCAAGCGTGTAACTATTAATAGTAATTGTAAATATATAACATTGTATATGTGATTGTAACTATGTATATATATTATCATCTTCATTAAAATACGGTTGCAGAAATACATAATTAATGACAAATATATTACCTATGTTTATGTTCTTCGTATCTTCTATTTCATTTTTAACATTTTTCTTTTTTTAATAAATTGAATTCTATCAATAAAACTAAATTGAACTAATATTAATAAAAAAAACTTAATTTTTTAATTGTTCGAATATTATAATAAAATATTTGAATAAATAATATTTGAAATTTTAAATTTAAATTAAAAATTTGTAATAATTAAATTCAAGCGGATATATTCGTATAAAATTTAAAAGTTTGAATGAAAAAAAATGTGAAATGAAAAAACACAAAGCATACATAAAATTATATATTCTATACATAAATTTTATAAATTAATCAATTAATATTAGCAATTAATATATTTATAATGTCTAAAATGCTAAAAATGCAAAAATATTCGTAAAATATTTGAAATGAACAATCGATAGTTACAACGACGTCCGTTTGAACTAATTGGCGTTGTAATCGTTCAAGAGAAAGAGAGATAGATGATTAAGAAATCAAAATGGCGTCGCGTGCACGGTGCCGATAATTTTCGTTACATTAGAATGTTCGTTATTATTTTTTGTGCATGATACAAGTAAAATGCGAGCAATATATGCTGTTTAAATGAGTGACATTTGATGAAATTTTATATGAGAAATTGTGAAATAACATCATTCTTGTAGCATCATAATTTTGGAATAACTCGTGCGACAACCGTTGTGAGACAATCAAAGAAAAAGTACTGTTTTACGTATGGCTTTTAAACTACACGGATAGTTTCATATCGCTGTTAACCGTGTTCTTGGTGAAAAACATCATTGACATGACGAAAGACGTGTGTTTAATTTTCGTGCATTGTGAAACTACGACAAGCTATGTGCTTTGACGTGCACGAGTGAAAACTAGTTTCGTTCAAAGACTCGTGAAGGTGTGGAGACGACGTGCGTGTTAGCCACCATGGCGGTGAATCCGCGTGATATGGACGGTTTTATGCCGCTCCTGTCAACGACGGACATCAAGAAAAAGTTAAATGTTGGTAGTTTGCTGTTGAATTATTTAGGAGATGCAACAAAGAGTATCGAATGTCAAGACATCGGGCAGTTTATCGATAACATCATACCATGGTTAAGCAACGGCAATCCTAAGGTAACATCTCTCTTCAATCATTTTCTCTTGGGAATTAACATTATGAAAATCTTTAGATAACTTTTATAATTTTCAACTTTCACATTTAACTAATTTATATACAAAAACATCGCTTTATCGTTTCTGAATTTCAAATATAAAGTGAATTCTCCAAGCCATTACCAGATTTTGTTGTCAAGTAGCACTTTTTTATATTTTAAAATTCCTTTATTATTCTTTTTAATGCTGATTATGAATGTACCCATCGTTTGTTATGTAAACAAGACCATGCTAAAGATGTGCTAACTTTTTACGATTTGTCCCTAGTCATTCATTCATATCAATATGAAGATATTTATATTCTAATTTTCATTATTATAATTAACAATCAAAAATAAATAAAAGTTTTATATAAAAAAATGATTTCAAAGAAATTAAAATCATTGTGGGGTGTGCCGGGTAACAAAATGACTAGATTGTGTGCGTACAAGCAGAGGTGCTCATTTATTGAATTTCATTATGCACGAGAAGGTAAAAAATTTAATTGCTAAATACTCTCAAAATCAGTTCATTGAATTTACATAATCATATTATACATTAAAAATATTCGAAATAATAGAAGTCATAATCTATCACATTTTTGATTTTCTCCCAGGATAAAGACATTTGTGTACATTTTATTTTGGTCGACCTATATCTTCTGCGTATACTCGAAACTTTCTACGCTCGATACTTGGGAATGGACGATGCTACCTGCGACAGCAACGTGATTGATTTGTAAATCAAATTCGAATTTATTCGGCCAGTCGAGGAAAAAAAAACTAAATTTTTATATATTTTCTTCACAGACATAGAAGAAAACAGATGATGCACGAAATCTTTAAACAAGAGTCAAAAGATTCGATATTTTTTTAATTACTCAATCGAGTAATTAAAATCTGATTTATGTGTTATCGTTACCAATTTTTAACAATAAAGTTAATTTTCATCTTCGAAAAGTATATTTCACTGAAATTGGTAGCTTTTTTTTCTTCATTTAGAGATCGAATCAGCTGTGTAATCTCAAACTCTTATTTCATATTCATATTCAACATTCTACGATAGTTGATAATTCAAACAAAGTTTTAAATTATTTTTATTCATGGATATGATTCTATAAATGTATATATCATTTTAAACCTAATATATATTTCATTTGTATTAGAAATTATTTCTTTTAAATTTACTAAAAATCAATAATACGTCTCTAATTTGAATAGTATTCTTCGTATGATGATATTGTAATTAATTATTTTCAATTAAAATAATCATTTGTTTACATCATGTGCTTTAAACGAAAACGATTATTTACAATGAGTTCACTCTTCTTCAAGATACCAGAAAACTTGGGCTGGTTCTGCTTCAGGAACGTATATGGGAAAAACTTTCACACCATGTACGTAAAATGTCCTTTGGTACAGTATGTCATGGAGTATGTGATTGAACGATTGGCGTTTAGTTGAAGTCATTGGTTTTAGTTAAACGTTCTCTGATAATAGATGCAGAAACTTTCGATGCAAAAATTTCCGACAGGAAAAACATAAAAATACAAAATCGACGTAAGGAAGTTGAAATCATCGAAATCTAGATTCGTAGGCAGCTTCGACGAAACCATTTGTACGTGAGTATAATCCTTTCCTAATAAAGACAATCAGACTAGAATATTCTTGTCCACGAGTTGAGTGTCTAATCGTCTTTATTATTCTCTTGTTGAGATGCGATAAAGAAACATTAAGTGTATTATAATTTATTAAAATGTTTCTATTTATATTTGAAGAATATGATCAATGAATAAGAACAATATGAACAAGAGAAGTTATGAATGAAATAATTAAGCAAAGGAATTTTTTTTTATATGTTATACGAATATTTTTTTCTTATTAATAAGCATTTGAGGAAAAGTCGCTGAAAAAGTCAAATTTCTTAATTCTTTCTTATTATTTCCGGATGAGTTTCTACAAATTATCTCATGGAAAAATCGCATGCACGTTTAGAATGATATTTCTTAAAATAAAGAGACACATCTTGTAGACATTGATCAAAAATTTGATTCGTTTTGGTTGATAGAAATTGTCGTAGAATGATGTCATCAAATAATTGAAAAATTAATAAATTTCATCATACATGATAACTTTATATTATCCTGGTCTTCTACGAAAAAATAAACAAAAGTTTATTTTATTAAATTTAAAGCGATATTTAATTAATCAAGTTGTTTGCGATTCAGTCCCGTTCATAATATATGAGCCAAGGATCTCTTGTATATCACGCACGGTATATATTTCTCTATGTGTAATGTACGAATAAGCATAGTAAACCGACATATTTATATGTATAGTTATCCATTCATTCCTATATTTAGAATTGCTTTTTATTATTGCACGCGTTGTTACTCAGTTCTTAAGTTTTTCTCGCAGGTAATCAATAAGCGAAGGAAAATCTCAAGTTTTTATAATTTTTTGTAGAAATACCAGGTGGAAAGTTCGGAAACTTCACATGAAAGAATTTTTTGTTTCTTTCGACTGGAGTTCAATGTTGGTAACTAACTAAAAGGAATTGCATTTTAAAAATAAGATCATAAATATAAATTATTTTACATCATTATCTAGTATTTATCACTTGTTAAAGTCTCGTTATTAGCTTGAGAATATTAACAGAATGTGCAAAATATCTGTGAAAATAGAAAGTAAATATCAAGTAAATAGATAACAATCGTTCTTAAGATTTAACTTTTTTTTTTTTTTTTAGGATATTGAAAATAACACTAGTATTTAATCTTCGAATAAAATGTAATATATCGACTCAGAACATTATGAAGTCTATTATTTAGTCGATAAGATTAATCGTGAAAAAATTACAAAGGCATACTTTAATATTTGTCAGAAGATTTCTAGTCACGTCTCAGAGAATAAGAAATACATTGATCGAAGAATTACGACTTCGGACTGTCTGTCTTCTTAATGAAAACGTTGTGATTAAGGCATGCAGACTACCGTTCGTTTTTAATTTTCACCGAACCCACCATTGTCGTAATTTTGGCAGGAAGCCTACTACGTGATGAGCCTTCCTATTTCGACAGGATATATCATCTCTATCGATCTGGACCGAAGTTTTTTATGTTGCGGATATATTTGACCTTCTCGCAGTAAAGTTAATCCGAGAGATTTATTTTTCAATTATTTCAATGGTAGTTAAGATTTTAATTAATTTAAATTTTAATTATATTTTGAATATGATAAAATTTAAAGTTTATATCAAGTTATTATCTAAAATCTAACAATATTTAAATTCACAGAGAATTAGCACTGCATTTAAATTAGGTCAATATCTGAATTAAACATTAATGTAATATTCAGAGATTTTAACTATCGTTTAATGTATTTTCAGATTAAAGGAACAAAGTTCGGAATTATTGTATAATTCATATTTGTTTCGATAAGATTTCTCTTCGTAACTTGTCTCATATCTTATTACTATTGAATAACAATATGCCTCATTATAGAAAATCTTAACTGAACCATTTTTGCAAACCATCGGTGCACCAGTATTGATGTCA